CTATAATTTTTTGCTTGAGTTAATTTTATTCTCTCTTAAATCCATTAGTTTTGTTTGACTTTTGATAAGTTTTGGTTAAAAATTTTGACACAAATCTAATCCCATATGTGTTGCTCTTATCTTTCCTCACACTCTGCTGCTGCCTGCTGCAGAAACAAGCTGACATCTGTCTGTGTTGGTGGAGGAGAGACAAACATTCCTTTCTCCTACATTTCTCTTCACCTAATTTACAAATCTCTCTAACCCTTTCTTATTCTCATCTTTTGAAACTTTCTTTAACCACCTTATCATTGTTTTCAACCAGTACCGTCCCCAAAGAGGCAGATTTACACTCTGTCCATCGATCTACAACTTTCTGAGACATTTCAATGATTATTACACGTATTATTCAGAGAGGGTGAATGGCGCAGTGCCTGAGTGAAGGACCAAATCAAGAAGCTTCTACACGGAGTCTATTACCCTGTGCGCTTGATTGTTGAGGGTTTTCCCAGCCTATTCACTCGTTTTAATTCACCACCTCAAATAACACCCTAACTAAAATATCCCCTTTTATGCTATTACCATCCCCATGTACACAACTACTTGAGATCTGTGTTAGTGCAGGGATTCTCGAGTAGCCTGTACTGTCCGATACGCTGACACATGCACAGTAAAATATCAATCAAGTAGGAAACCACCCCACATCTGCATGAAAAATAACAAACGTATCCCCGTGTTCCTATGAAAAAACAAATCAAACTTGTCTTCATTAAGATTTTTATCTTCACAATTATGCCGGCATTCTATTTATTTATTAGTTTTAATTGTATTCATTTTTCTCTCTTTTTCTTATTTATTTATTTATGATGATGATTACTAAATGTTATTTATTTATCTATCTATTTAATAGATACTCGAGTCTTCACCTATTTTTATTTTATTTTTTTCACACTCAACCGCTCAACGGGAGTCTTCTATATATTCACCAGGCCAATCCCTGGAACTGTTTTCTCAACAGACCAATCCCCGTTTTTTTTCTGTCATCGGGCCGATCCCCGATATTTCTCAACAGGCTACTCCCCGTTATTTTCTACTCATCGGGCCGATCCCCGATATTTCTCAATTCTACTAACTAGGACACTTATAAGACTTTCCCTCACGTGAGACTATGTGTTCTAAACTTTACATGTGACCATTTCAGTAAAAATATCAAACAATTATTAATCATTCCCCAAAAGAAAATTACTATGCTTTTAGTGATCAGAGATTCATCTTATTCAGACAATTTCTTTTGGTATGTCCAATGTGCAGAAATTTCAAGTAGAAAAGAGGTTTTCTGCTCACCTTGTGTGTCTGAAAAAGACTCACCGCCAATCGACTCCGGCACTCCTCAATCGGACGTGGTCGCACCAAAATTGTTAGATCCGATTCTTTAGTTGGAAGCCCAAGAACAAGCCGGAGAAATCTTCCGTTTTCAGATGCAGAATTTATTTAGGTCACAGGTAAAGTTTTGCAGCGCTGGAATTCAGAGGGACAGAGAGGAATCTCATGTCCAGCTGAAGTGAGTGTTTTCGGTTCCAGATATCTTCTTGGGCTGGGCCTGCCCCGAACACAGATAAGATTTAATTGGCCAGTTACTAATGGCGTGGACAGGCATACTTCTACGCTCTGTCCACGTCCTTGACATTTTTGGTAAGCAACGTGTGTGGATGTTGTTGGTACGGCGTGTAGCTAAAGTAACAATCGTATCTAATAGAAAAGAGGAGTTTCCGCTATCTCCATGTGTGTGAACCGGTTCTCACCGGCCATATTATCTTCAAGGACATATGCTGTTCTCAGTAGGAAAATACGAAACAGAATCATAGGCTCAGTGCAAAATACAGATTCAGAATACATAATAGCTCGAAACATACTTAATTCTAACACACCCTATATAGTGCACTATGTAGGGCATAGGGAGTGATTTCGGACACAGCTTAGGTATGATATACAGTTAGCAAGTCAAGTGCTGCGAAGGAAGATAAGGAGACTTTACAAAAAAGTAACGGATATTTCTGTCCAGAAGGAGTGGAGCATGGACTTCATTTAAAGGTAAAGGTAAGACCACAATATCTTAAAAAAAAAAGAAGAAGAAAGAAACATGCGTTTTGTGGGCTACAGCTTGCATGTGTAAAGAATGCAGATATGAAACATAGCCCCTAAACTGCAGCCAATCAAATGGCAAATATGCGTCTGTGTAGAGTGCATATATCTGTAAATCAGATTCTGATGAAGTCAGTGCCTCATCAGCCACAAACCTCACTGCACGTCACTGCTCAGTGTACCACATCACAGTAGCACAACACACTTTAGCCTGATTACATGAAACACAACACAAACATTGTTAGCTTAATGCTGCTATGTTTAACTTTAACCAGGCTAGCATCGCTAATTTACATTAAAGATAATGTCTACTGGATGCTAACTCTCTTCACTGGTCAGTACACACAGAAATAAACTGCATGACCTTCTGGAGTTTACCGCACACATTATATCTGAGGCTAAGGTTGCAGTTAAAGTGCATTAAAACCAACAACAATAAGAAAATAAACATTTAATGACTGAACGGATCCTTTCAGTGTCTGGTTCAATCAGCCGAAGGTCCGAATTACGGTGAACTGAAAACTGGTTAAAACCAGCCAGCGGACAGAAAAACTTTGTGAAAAATGTGCTGCTACCCCCGGGTAAATATTGACAATCTAACAGTTAATTATATCAGAAGTAAATCCAAACGAGGAGGAGACCTGAGTTTACGGTGAATGAGACTCCAGGCTGCCTCTTCCCTACGACCTGTCAATCACTCCTGACCAGACTGTCAATCAAGCCAGCCACACCCCTTGGCCCTCAAAATTTTGACGATTTAAAAAAAATTCAGCATTGGTTTATTTTCAGATTGGCCACCTGATCTCTGGATTTGACCATGAAAACTAGCGGGAAAAAAATCCTGAGCTGGAGGAAAGCGGTGTTTCGTGATCTGTGATCACTCCGTTTACAATTGGGGTCTATAGGAGCCAGGACTTCTTGGAGCCAGCAACTAGCGGACGTAGTGATACTGCAGGTTTTTGACACTTCCGATTTGGCTTCATTTTTCAGGGCCGGTTGCTACATCCATCTTTTATACAGTCTGAGTCCACTGAAGGTATAATGTCACCCTCTGGCGGTGGGAGATCAGAAGTGTTTCCATTTGTCCTCTCAAGTGAATCAAAGTTAATCCTCTCAACCCCAAGCAGTTCCTGGGTGTTTCTTTGCTCCTCTCACAGTTATATGGAAACAACACAACCATGGATAGAAGTAGAAAGATCTATTTTTTTGCAATTATAAATGCATACATCAATAAAAATAAAAAAAAAGAGAAAACAATAAGGCTGATTTTCTTTCAGATTTTTATTTTTATTTTTTTTTAACCTGTTTTAGAATAAATTAGTAAACCTGAAATCAACATATGCGACATTTTGCCCAGTGTTCACAGGTACTGTCAATACTGGGGGGGAAAAATGGGGGCTTCACGTGCTGTATAAAAATGTACCTATTTACATTTTTGATTGTTATTTTTAATACTGGCCTTTTATCTGTTCTGTGTAAACACAGCCTGCAATTCAACTCAATTCAACTGAAATTTCTTTTAAATGTATGTCGCATGACAGTTGGCCACACGGTTGTGTTGCAGCGTGTAGAATTCTTCTTCTTATTATTGTTTTTTTTAAAGAATCATTTTTATGGCTATTTTTTCAAGAGATAGTTAGAATAAAGTGATTGTAATCAAATGTCATAATTTTAAGTTGACATTACAGATAAGTTGTTCAAACGCTGTTGAAAAGATAAACATATGATGATTTGGTCAGTTTTTATATTTTTGTTCTGATGGGGCTGCATGGTGGATCAGTGGTTAGCACCGTCGCCTCATAGCTAGAAGGTCGCTGTTTCGCGTGCCAGTGAGGACACCCAGGATCTTTGCATGAGTTTGCCCTGTTCTCCCCGTGCTTTTCTCCAGGTTCTCCAGCCTCCTCCCACAAGGTCCAAAAAGTGATTCTAAGTTGGTGTAGGTGTGAATGTGAGTGTGCTTGTTTGTCTCTATGTGTAGCCGTGTGATAGACTTGTAACCTGTCCAGAGTGTCCCCTGCCTTCACCCAAACCACGACCCCAGTGAGGATTAAGCGGTGTATAGATAATGGATGGATGGTTCTGATAGTTGGTGTAATTTTGGTAATTGTGCTCAGTTTTTACGACAGCTGTGTGACAGTGTGTATGTATATGCATGTCATTATCAAGCCAAGTTTTATTGTCATTTTGCTGTACAGGCAAGATGAGAGAGTGTTTCTCCAGGATCCAATAACTTCAAGCAACTTAAATACAGAAGTGTTTGTATATCTGGATTAGCAGTTCAGAATTCTGACAGCTTGTGGAATGAAGCTGTTGATCATTCTGGAGGTTCTTCCTTTAATGCTTCGGAAACGTTTGCCTGATGGCAGCAGTTCAAACAGTTTATGGAGAGGGTGTGAGGGGTCCCTGACAATGTTCAGTGCCCTGCTCCTGCAGCAGCTCTGGAAAAGTTCTTGGACAGAGGTGAGGGAAACTCCGATGACCTTCTCAGCTTCTCTAACTCAGTGGTTCTCAAAGTGGGGTCCTCGAACCCCTGGGGGTCCGTGAATCACAGCTTGGGGGTCCGTGAAATAATTATAATAAATTTCTATGAATTGTAAAATTACGCTGTGTTTTTAAAAATAGCATATATACGCATGAGGACCGTTTGCGCCAATGAAACCATCATATTGTACCCATTACTCCCACCCTAGCTGGCTTTTGGCCAATCAAAATTGATATGATTGTGACACATCACATCAATCTGTCATGTAGCACTCATTGCTCTGGTCACATCTGTTCCCGCTGCTACTTAGCTTTGCTTAGTAGCTGGCAGATATGGAGCCATTATTAAATCAGTTCACATCCTCAAGTGATGCTAAGCCCAAGCTAGCTAAATTAAGAAAATATGACAACTGGTATATAGAGTTTGGTTTTATTGAGTGTTAGGATCATATATTTTATATTCATGTTTTGATAATCTCTTATTATATTAATCTCACATTATTTCATATTTTGATAATTGCATGCAGCATGAGAAAGCGTAAGTGGAGACAGGATTTGGTGATTTGTGTATTTCTCTGTCACAAGCAGGTATCTGCAGGAGGGAGAAACTGAGGGTGCAGAGTGGGAAGTCTCTGCACCTACAAGATGGTGAAAGAAGACTCGAGGACACAGAGGGGCCAATCAGCTAGCTGCAACACATTCTGTAAACATTCTCATGTAATAGTATAAGTACACTGGATCAGGGAGAGGCAGTCAGTCAGACTTTGTGCCCTGACATTAACTTTGTTGGTGCTAAGGTAAGAAGTTTGATCCAGAGCTCTGTATGCTTATTCAACTATCTGATAAATAAATACATTGAGTGAGACCTCAATATCTTCTGCTATTGCTTCATTAAACGAATGCGCAGGAGCTATCTCACACATAGTGTAATTTCTGGTAGATTGAGATTCAGCGGCAACATGAGAACAGTGACGGGAGGCCAAAATGTGTCATGTGTCTTCAAGTGCTAGTGAACGAAGCTATGAAGCCAGCCAAGCGAAAGCAACATCAGATCACAAAGCACCCGGAACACAAGGACAAAGCTAAAGATTTTTTTCAGCGAAAGAGGGAAGAATACATCTGCCAGAAAACACAGATGGTGAACCTGGCCACAACTTCAGAGAAAGCGCAGAAAGCTTCTTATTTAGGCTAGAAGGATTGCTAAAGCTAAGAAGCCACACACAATTGCAGAAGATCTCGTACTTCCAGCGGCGGTTGAAATGTGTGAAATTATGAAAGAGGCGGCTAATAAACTGAAAGCTATTCCTCTCTCAAATGACACTGTGAGCAGAAGAATTGAAGACCTTTCCCCAAAGGTTCTGGTCACGCACTGTATGCTGCATAGACAGGCACTCTCATCCAAAGGTATGCAACCAGACCTTCACTCTGTTTTGAACACAGTTAATTTTGTGAAGTCAAGGGCACTGCAGTCACATTTTTTTGGACAACTTTGTTGAGAGATGGAAGCTGGGCATGACGCACTGCTGTATCACTCTGAAGTGTGATGGCAGTCTTGCGGTAAGGTTTTGCAGCGGGTGTTTGAGCTGTGCGGCGAGATGGCGGAGTTTATGAGAGAGAACAAACCTGACATTGCAGAGTTTTTTTTCCCGATCCGGAGAGTGTTGCCAAATTGGCATATCTTGCCGATGTATTCAACTTGCTCAGCTGCCTGAACCTCTCTAT